AAGGAAGGAAGGAAGGAAGGAAGGAAGGAAGGAAGGAAGGAAGGAAGGAAGGAAGGAAGGAAGGAAGGAAGGAAGGAAGGAAGGAAGGAAGCAATAGTTTCAGCGTGAATTTTGGGTCAAGTGGCAAAATCATACACTTTCAAGTGCTTATCTGAGTTTTTCTAAAAAGTGTATTTTAGATTTTACTATGAATTATTAAATTAATACACAGCAAGGAAACTGCTACAGATTAATTGTGATTTTATCCCTGTTTTTATAACCTGTGCAATGCAGGTAACTTTATAGCACTTTATTGAAAAACTTTTGCAGGGTAAAGGTGAGAAGCTACATGTAGTGAGTACTTCTTATAAGCATAGTTTGGGAATAAGCAGGGAAAGTTCATCACACATTAACCACTTGCATAGCTATTTACAAAAAGATGGTTTGAGGGGCCAGCATGCTGCATTATCACCCCAGCTTTCTCTAAAACTGTCATCTAGCTTCTCTCCTATAACTCTTAAAGAGAAAATTAAATTTGCCTAGAGAAGCAGGTTGTTTTATTTCCAGGAACATCTTCTTTCTTTTTCCCTTTATTTTTTTTCCCCAAGAAATCACAGTCATTAAACATCATTTGAGCATTCAGGTACAACAGAGTAAATTGGCCTAGCTTTGTAAGACAGATCATTCTATGTGACTCCCTGGTATTCATCTTCATATAACACTATTCTAGGTTTGGGTTTTTTCAAAGTTTCTTGGCAATACTTTTGAATTTAATTTCAGAACATAGGTAAAAATTTCATTAAAATTGGATGTGAGAGGTCCACAATTCACCACTAGCCCCTCCATCCTCCAGCTAATGATTTCTAATTAACAGTTACTTTCTAAAATTTATGTTTTAAAGAGTTCTCAATCAATTTTACATATGCTCTATGAAAATTGCAAATTAATGAACTTTAGTAAGAATATAAGTAATGCACTACTAAGTTGAGTGCTTTATAGGTGTCTAAGTCTATTACAGCCATTCACTTACCTTTATCACCCAAACTTCTGTAAGCTTATCAAAGAATAAAATGAGATTTGTTTGACAAGAACTATTTTGCATAAACCCATATTGACTGGCATTAATTACATCCCTTTCACTTCAGTCTTTGTCAGTTAAATTCTGGATCATTTTTTTTTCACTATTTTGTCTGGGCTGATATTAAGCAAGTGTATTGGGTTATGCTGTTCCCTGACTGTATAGTGTCCCTTAAATAGCAGCACAGCAGGGTTTTTTTAATTCCCTCAGTAGTTTTTAAATTTTTTTAATAAATACTTTATAACATGAGATAGAAATGTGAAAAACCCCTTAGAACTGCTAATTTCTAAACATTTACTTCTCATAGATACTATTTAAGATCCATCTTACCTGCTGATGGACTGGAAAGCACTGGAAAGATCAACATTCTTTCCAAAATAGAATAAAAAGGCTTCTGATATATTGATATTGAAAGTTTTTCTGTTCCAAATTAAGATTTGATAAATTTCAAGGTCTTATTTTCTCTAGTTTTTATGGATATGAATTTTTCACTGCCGACTTCAGCATCTCATTCTAATATTTTATATTTCATAATATGTTTTTACAGAACATTTTCCCCTTTTTTATCTTTGCTTTTATTTTTCATAGGCATCATAATTATCAGGATTTTTTTCCCTTCTAATTATTGCCTTTGTCTTCCTACTAACTTTTTTTTTGCCAAAATTGTTTTCCTTTTCACATTATAGTTGCATCTTTAAGGTATCTTAGGAAGTCTCTTTAACAGATTCTTAATTTTCATGCATAGTTCTTTTCTGTATTTTCTCCCTGTCAGATGAACTGTGGTGAATCCAGTATTCTGAAGCACCAGCTGTATCCCTTCTACTGACTGGGATTGCCTTTTCTTTGTCTGTACTGAATGTGTGTTTTGGATGGCATTTGTACAGAAACGTGGTCTGATTGGAGAGTGTCCAGGGGAAAGCAAAAGTCTTGAAATAAGACTTACTAAGAAAAATCAAAGAATTTGAGTTGGTCAGTCTACAGAAGAGAAGACATGGCAAAAAGGAAAGAGGAAAATGGGACATAATAGCAGGACATATGAAGGAAAGGCACATGCTCTGTTTCCATAGCCATGATGAGCAGGAGAAGAGATGCAGGCCTTAAATTGCATTAAAAAAAATTTAAAAAGGGGTTTCACTCTTATTGGAGATAAAAATGAGGTGCTTGGAGAGATTCCCTGGGGAGGCTGTGGTGGAGCCTCCAGTAATCAGGAGGTTTTCTGACCTTCACCTCTGTTTTCTCTGAAGTTGCTGGTCCCAGAGCCGGTGCCAACTTTCAGTCCTCTATTCAGTTCAGTCTCTGCCATCATAACCAGTTCTGGAACAGGATGCTAAACTTTTTGTGATTAAAAAGACCTTGCTATTTCTAATTTTCAGTTGTAGAATTAATCTTTTTCTAATACTGCTGGCTAAGCAAGACTCTGCACTTGCATCTTCCACCAGTTTCCTTCAGAAAGAGCATTTTTCTCCATATTACTGGCAGTTGTTGAAGGAATAATTCCTGCTAGTTCCTGATTTCAATTAGCAGATATGAATTAGGCTTTCACCTCTGGCAGCTGCAGTCTTGTTAGCTAGCTTAGTGTTCCTGCACCTCTGAGTTATCAATACCT